CCCCTTAAAAATGCTATATGTTACAATGAGATGAACCTCTGATTCTTCTATACTGCAGTGAGTAGAGTCCCAACCTATTTATCCTTTGCTCATAAGACAACCCCTCCATAACCAGGGATCATCTATGAGAACTTCTCTGAAGTGCCTCCAAAGAAATTATATTATTCCTTAAATGAGGGGACTAAAACTGCTCACGTTACTCCACACGTGGTCCCATCGGCATCTTGTACAGTTGCAGTAAGACTTCACTACAACTGTACAAGAAATCCCCTTGAAATAAGGCCAACATTCCATTAACCTTCCAGATTACCTGCTGCTGCTGTGTGCTAGCTTTCGTGTTTCATGTTCCAGTACCCCCCAAGTCCCTTGTGTTAAAGCCTTTTGTAGTTTTTCACCATTTAAGTAATATTCTATCCTGTTGTTCTTCCTTCCAAAATGAACAACTTCTCCTTTTCCCAAATCATATTCAATTTGCCAACTTTATGCCCACTTACTTAACCTATCAATATCTCTTTGTAAATGGTTTGAATTCCTCCTGCAACTTGCCTTTCCATCTATTCTTTGCAAATATGGCTACAGTGCATTCACTTTCTTCCTTTAAGTCATTCAGATATATTTTAAAACAGTTGTGGTCCCAACACTGATCCCTTTGGAACCACACTGGTCATGTGTCGAAATCTGCACTGCAGCAATATCTCAAACCTCTCTGACAGCACCTCTCACACCCCAGACCTATGCCACCCACATGGACAACAGCAGCAGGCCCATAGTAAAACCACCACCTTCCCTTAACCACCCCTCAATTCATACATAATTCCAACTTGGAACTATAGTGTCATTCCTTCACTGTTGCTGAGTCAAAATCCTGGAACTCCCACCTGAACCACACCACAGGGACGGAACATTGCAAAAAGGCAATTCACCACCACTTTCTCAAAGGCACTGAGAGATGGGCTACAAACATTAGCCGAACCAGCAGTGCCTGCATCCTGCAAAAGATAAAAATAAATGCCTTGGCTGAATGGCTTCCACTTCCAAATTAAAGTGAATGTCTGAAAAGTCTTGCTGAAAGTCTTTGGGCAGCTGTAGTAATGAATGGTGTGTGCTTTTCCTTTACAGTTACCCCCAACATCTGCAAGATCAAAATATTATTTGAAAATCTGGGTAATAGGAAAACTAGATAAAGTTTAGGATGTTAATCAAGATTCACCCATTTGAGAAACACCAAATCATTACTAGAGGTGGCTTACCATTGGTTGAAATGAGAGGTATCGTTAGAGAACATTTCTTATAAACATCACAAAATCAAGCACATCCACCTTTGTGGTTGCACACACATCACTAAAAAAAAACATAGTTTTGGTCCCTAACATTTATTAGTGTGCAAAAAGATCAGTGATTTCTAAATTATATACTTGTATATAGTACTGAACTTGTAGAATGAGCAAGACAGAAATTTCAAATTAGCCCAAGTGGGGTAATATGCTAGAATTGCATGATACCATAAATAACTAAATTAGGAAGGATCCATTGGTCACAATCTTTGTTTCATTCTTCTTTTCCTTGTGAAGATAAATTGGTCACTCTTTCAGAATGTTCCAGCGATGTGCCAGGCTTGTCTGAAAGCAGATACTGTTCCAGCTCTGATGGCCAGATTAAGGCAGCTCTCAAATTGGCTTTGGCTGTGATGACTTAATTTGAGCAGGCTTGAAACAAACTTGTGAAAACCAACAAAGAGAGAAATATTTTTTGAGAAAATAATGTTGAGAGTCTCACAAGTTAGTCCAAAAACCAAGACCTAGAGCAGCGCATTGTCTGATTAATAAGTTCCATTCAGTTAAGGGCTTGAACTTGACTTGCATTCAATAATTCCTACTGATAGATCTTAACTAATGGAGTAAAAGCCACAAATGTACTTTGCAGCAGCATTGTAAAGCAAAATCTGACACCGAGTCATGAAAGGAAGTATTAAGGCCAGATGATAAAAGCTTTGCCAGAGAGCTACGCTTAAAGAGGAACCTTAAAGAGGCAGCGAGGCGTAAGGAGGTAATTTCAAACCTAATGGCCATGGTAACTGAAGGCATGACTGCTAACAGTGGAGTGATTAAAATCGAGACGTTCAAGTTGTTCAAACGGGATAAGCATAGATACTCTGAGGGTTGTGAAGATAGAAATTGCAGAGTTAGAAAGGACCAACTTAGTGGAAGAGATTTGAAAGCAAGTATTTTAATAATAATTTTAATGGTGAGAAGTCACTCAAGTAGGACCCAATGTAGATCAGTGAATACATGGATGTTAGATGAACAGGATTTGGTGTCAGAACATGAGCAGCTGAATTCTGGATCATCTCAAGTTGATGGAGAGTAGAATGTGGGAAACCTGAAAAGGATGCGCTAGGATTCCCAAACCTAGAGGTAACATAGGCATAGATGAGGATTTGATCAGCAGATGAGCTGAGGCAGGGGTGGAATCAACTGATATTATAGAGGTGGAAACAGGCAATGTAATTGATATTGACAATATGTGCTTGGAAGCTCTTGCAGTTTAATTCGATCATTTAGGGAAGAGTTCAGAGCTGTGGGGTTGTGGTTGAGATTGGTGTCTTCAACATCCATGTAAAATAATAATATAACAGACAGCCAGTTTATTGTGACTTGTAATCAGAGTCAAAGATGGCTGCATATTTGTATTACTGTATCTTCTATATTCTAAGGCCATTAAATGGAGCCTACCTGTCTGCAGGTGCAAAACAAGCCCACCACTATTGGAACAGGAATGAACCACATCTTCTGTCCCTATTGGCTGGTCATCTATTCAACTGGTTCAGGAACAAGCATTAGATGTAATCATTTCAGGTAAGGGACTCTCGTTGAGCGAGGATTTCCCAACCATAGTCAGATCAACTTACAAGTCATGACCATATTTGAGTCACTGGGCAGTCAGGAGTGGATTGTGTGAGAAGCCAGCTAAACCCTCTGCTCATTTAAGCATGTGTTTTCTCTGCAGAGAGGCACAAGTATATGATATGCTGAAAAGACAAGATCCCAGTGTGGGTTTCTATCTTGCAATTTTCAAACCCCATCTGCTTTTGTTCTCTCACTAAGTGCTGCAGATAGAGATTTAAAACAAAAAGAATTCAACCATGCATGTGCCATATTCGCAAGACAGATAAGTTGCCCATCCACATCTTTAAACCACTTTGACATTGACTCAGGATGACTGTTTTCAGCCTAAAGTCAGATAAGTTACCAAGGTTCAACAACCAATTTAAAATTACTAGACGTTAACTATTTAATTTATACCCATACTCTGTAATCTGTGTTTGAGAGTGTGAACTCTGAGCATGTGTTTGTCAGTGTTGGGGGATCCTTATTACTTTCCTCATTGCAGGTTAAGAACTGTAGAAACTATTTTCTTTCCTTTTTGGGAAAAGTGCAGAAAACCTGCCTTTGGAAGTCTTTTAGAATTGCCTTTATAGAATAGTCTTTTTTGTCACATGCACTCGAATGAGGCAGTGAAAAGTTTGTAATGTCACCTCTCGGCGTCATCTTAGGTAGGGTACCTAGGTACAGATACTTCAAGTGTTGCGACAGAATTGAAATTGTTAAAAATCATAGACTAGCATTGTAATACAGAGTTTAAATGTCCAGAATGAGGATAAAATGTGCCTTCAAAGTACTCAAGTTATGGTCCTTTTCCACTGAGTCTGTGCCCACTGGGCCTCAGAACACAAGGCCTTGCTGCCTCTGCATGCCCACCTAAATAGTCAGAGCAGTACCTAGTTAACTACTCACTGAAATGGCAAATATATCCTTTCCTTTAAAAAAAAACTATCGTGGTAAAACAAAGAGATGAAAAAAAGCGTAGCCCTTCAACCCTCATCACTTGATTATAACAGGATAAATGACATTTGCACCTTGGAAGAACACTCCAACGCAGCATCTTATAATCTTGGATTTTATTTTCTGCCCTGTTTGTCTTCCTTGTGCATGCCCATACCTGATCCAGACAAATGTCCTTCTCCCTTTACAATGTTCAAGCTGGCTTTAAATAGAGTAGTTTAGCTGAGACTCTTGCCAGACTCTCAAAGTTAGATGGCCCCTGTTCAGGTAAGCAGCCACTCAAAAGCAACTTAGTGCTGACTGCATGCCACATTTATTTAAACACTGCAGCAAAGGTTCACTAGATTGGTTCCTGGGAGGTGAGTGAAGTCGGCCCATTTCCATCTGGTGTTTAGAAAAATGGGAAATAATCTTACTGAAACATAAAAAATTCTGAAACGGCTTCCCAGGGTGGATACCGGGAGGTTGTGACCCTTGGCTGGGGAAACTGGAACGCTCCCTCAAGACAAGATGTCAATTATTTAGGACTGAGATGGGAATCGTCCTTGTGAATTTTTGGAAATCTCTACCCCAGAGGGCATGAATGCTCTGACTTTGAATATATTCATAGTGGAATTTTGGGATTCAATTCAATTCAGTATCTATTTTGGTTATAGAAACAGTAAAAAAAATCAAGTTGAGGCAGAAAATTCATGACAATCGTATTAAATAGTGGCTCGAAGGGCCATTTGATTTCCTTCTCCAAATATCATCTGTACAGTTTGTGTCTGAAGTAACAGGCATAGGTTAACCTATTCCCCACACCTGTTTTTGAATCATAATAAATTTCTTGGCCATAAAATCATAAAACAATGCAGGAAAGAAGGAACACAATTAGTGCTGAATGTTTTTGCTGTCTCTTTGAAATAGTTATCCAAAGCAACCCACTCTCCATCCTTTCCCCTGTAAATGCATGCGGCTGCTTGGAAGACAATTATTTGTAAAGGATTTTGCTTTAGAAACTCACTCTATTCTGCTGCCATTCAGTTGTGATTTCTGGGTTCTTTATACATTTGCAATTAGATGTAAACCTGCAATGTCACATGTCCATTGAGAATTCCAAGTGAACCGAGTCCATTTTAATATAATTGCAAATAAAAGATAATTATTTAATCGCTCTTATTAATCAATGACACTTTAATCATGATGGGGCATTCCAAGTTGCTTCTTGATTCTCCATCGGTTCAACAAACAGCAGATAACTGAACATTCCAAACATAAACAGAAATGGCTGGAAAGACCTAGTTCATCTGGCAGCATCTGTGGATACAAAGCAGAGTTAACGTTTCAGGCCCACTGGTGTACAGAATATTCCAATTCATTAATACATTCCAGACCAAGCTGAATGTAAATGAGGTCTTCAGTAAATAACTAAAACTGACTAATATTTATCAATCTTACCCAGTCAAATTAAGCATGTTCAAATTTTGCATTAAAAACATGTTTTGCACTGTTTCTAATTAGCCTACCTGTGGCTGAAGACACAATAATTTGTATGAAGAAGCAACTTTTTTCCCCCCCAAGAGACTTCAGGGAGTGTTAAGGGTCCTGCAATAAGCTAACTGCCACTTTTAACTCTGACACCACAGTTTATTTGTGGTAGTTTTTAATGACATATTTTATCATTGCCAAGAAGAATGATCTTTCCATCGAGAATGTATCACACGCCCCCTGTCTCAGTGTAGGAACTGTTAGTTCCTTCTATCTTGCTACTGGAATGTGCTGAGGCCAGAGAATTGCAAGAGGATGAGATGACCCCTTTCCTTGTTTCTCATCTCCTATCAGGTCAGCAGCTGCATTGAAGGAAATGACATCTCCCAACATGTCAAGAAGCATGACCACCTGTTGGGAGATTCAATTTGCTGCAGCAGTTCTGATGTATCCAAAACGCTCATGGCAGTAATCCTGAAAGCACAGTTACCATTCTATATGCCTTATTGGGCAGCCAGATATCAACAGGATCCTTAGCACAGCTTAGAACATTACTTTTCACTAAGGTAGATGTATGGATGAAGTTGAATACCAACCCCAATGGGACTCCATGTTTTTATTCCCCTGTTTTGATGAGATGAAGCAACATTGGCCAGGACTTTACAACTAACAGTCTGAGATGAAGCTGGCTTACTTTGTATTGAGAGCCTTAGTGACCTCCCCTATCTAGTAGCACACGACAGACTGTAAATGTCACTTATATATCCAGCGGGAATCTAAAAAGGCTCAGGCATTGTAAAGTTCAAGGTAGTTTCACTTCGACAGTTACAGATACTTGTCTCCGTGTCCTGCTGTAAGTTTGCAGACATGGGTTACAACAAAAGACAGTGTCGACCATTCACGCCATTTGTGGATGTTTGAGTGGGAATTTACAGCATTTGGATATCTTCATTAGTAGACCTCCCACTGCACTTCCCCTTCTCCATAGATGATCTCTGACATATGCAAACAGAACAAGCGAAGTTATCACTCTCTCACCAATCAGACATACAAATGGGGGTAAACATTTTCTCTGCAGTTTTCACTTTGGTGTGTTACAAAGCCCCGTAAGGTTCCAGACTAGCATCTGTGGTGCATACATACACCACTGAGTATAGCAAGATTGAAGGGCTGAATGGCTTACTCCTATCTTCAATGACTGACAAGTAGCCCTGATATCCTCTTGGTAATGGGCTTGTACTTACACAGCTAAAAGCTTTAGTTTGGGAGCATGGTTGTCATGGACTATTTGGATTAAAGTGTCTGTTTCCATGCTGTATGACTCTATGATTGTAAGGTATCAATCAGTGTACAATGCTAATTTAATGCCACTGTAATCACTTTCTAATGCCACAGTCCAGCCTGTGTCTTCTCTTACCCTCGGACAGTTGAAAACAATATTAAAAAAAATTGAAGGACACAACACCAGCACTACTTTAGAGGGACCATGAATTACCTACAAGTTGGATTATTTCCTTTGGTTGTTGGTGCAATTGTATGCATTTATTCAGCTTTCCTACACTTATAATTTTCAACAGCCTTCAGAAAGTGGTTTGGCTGGTGGCTTGAAAGATTGGCTGAAAGAAGTTGCTTCAGGTCTGGTGGCTGAATAGACTTCTCTTGGAATTGACAGTAAGAATAAAAAGAAGTCACACAGAGTAGGGCATACTGTTAGAAGAGTGAGGAAGAGGAACAGGTCAATGTAAGATGCCTCACCTGCTGATGATTTTTAATAGAGAATTCTCTTAACTTCAGAGTCACCTTGCTTCAGACATCCATGTTTCACTCAAAAGGTCATGGCTGAAATCTACCAATTGCTGCAACCACATCTGCAATTTTATAGTAAGACAGGGATAGCATTACCTGTTACTGTTAATGCAAAACTGGCTC